AATATGACAATATCATTAAATATCCACATGGTCATATGTCGACAGTTGGATGCTTCGAGTGCTTAGGAGGTGGTGCCCCCAAGTTATGTTTGTTGGTTTATAAATCCCGTTAAGTGGTTCGATACATCGAACATAAACCCTGATAAAACAATAGGTACAAAACAACAAACATCTCACTATTGGTGACCAAAAAAGTATTTTTAGAGATTGTAATGTTGTTTATTGACCCATTGTTACCCATCAAACTGTATATGAGTGTGTGATCACCACCATCGTTAACTTTCCTCTAGGCGAAAATCGCCAACGCGAAGTAAGCGGCAACCGCTCCATCATAGACACAGACAGTATTCCCATTACCCTCTGGTAGACGTTTACATAACTATGGAAAACACAATTTTTAATGGGAAAACTCACAATAAATGGCAATTTTCAATAGCTATGTTAGTTTACCAGAGGGTATATTACAATATTATTGTTGGTCAATCCCCTCACATTTCTGAATCAAAAAAGTGGATTGTCACTACTATACTGGGCAACATAAATCACTTTGGACCTAGCCTCCAGTTTCACCTTTAAGTTCGCATCTCAAGTTGCATGTTTGCCCTACAGGATGGTGGTTTTCCCCAGTTAAAAAGTTGGTTTTTAAACCCCATGAAAACCAGAGTTATATCATGTTATATCTGCCAATATCTGCCTTTTTCACCAGAGTTGAGCCACTTTTTTTAGGCAACTGAACGCTATCTTGGGGAAAAATCCCGTTGGTCAATGGATTGGTTTAAGGGAAAATCTTAACCGGAAACCATAGATTTTCCCATGAAGATCATGGGGCTTTCCGGTTAAAAATTTCCCTTAAACCAATCCATTGAGTTGGGTATTGTTGCTACGATTCCATATGGAGAGTGATGGTTGCTACGATTCCAACTACCATCGTACCACCGTCGCCTCACAGGAGGAATTCTCACAGCTGGGATAAGGCGTGTCCTGGCGACGGAGCGACAAGGAATGCTGGTTGTTGGTCCCATGTGAAATCCCCGCAATTTTGGTGTTTTTTTTTTTTTGGTAGCTTCTATTCGATTGAAGTCTTATCCAAAGATAACACAGATGTCCAACACATGGGTCCAGTCTCTATATATATATATACTGTATATATATATATAAGTATACCGTATATACACGTATATATATATACACATACATGTATATCTATAACTGGCTTTGTTTGCATGCCGTTGGGCGGGCCCCACTTACTTAAGATGTCGGTTGCAGTTCCAACCTGGTGGAGAAAGCAGTGAGAGAATTCTCCACTGCAATCAGGCAATCAGTGGAATTGCTCTGTTAATCTCTAATTATCATCATAAACCAATCAAAATCCAATCGTACTTCAACTGTAATCCAGTCTTAGTCCAATCATGCAATTTATATGATAGTTCTATATAATATTCGTACAAACAAGATCAGCAGTATTTATATAAATAATTATAATATTCTATAATTAGTATGTCCAACAACCATTCAGTCGATGTTCATACCAAGCCCTTTACATCCACCCCCGACTCTTAGACTTTCTCCCCTTTTCCCTGGTTTGATTTGTTGGTTCGCGGCCCCATGTTTCGCTCCAACAAGTGTACGAAACATGGATGCCTTCCATTTATTAAATCGTATCTAACCCACATGCAACCGGGTATACCCTACAGTGTATATTAATTATATTTATATATATATTACACAATCATCCTGAAGCAAATAGATGAAAGTTTCAAAGATCCTCCCGTTTTTGAAAAGGAATCGTTGAAATTCCCATATTCATCCATAGTCATATTCTATCTAGAAATATGATTGAACCACAAGCCGCGATGCCCTGGCTCGATGATCCAAGTACCAGGTGCCCGAACAAATTTCGCGAAGTAGCGATTGTCCAACTTGCAGCCTGGGCCACACCAAAGGGGTTCTCTAATCAGAAAACTTGGATTGGCGTAGGGGGAGCCATTTATAGAATATGTTTATTTATTGTATATACAATATACATAATATACATAGTCTATGAGAAATTACATGTTATAAACCCGAATTATATCATATTATATCATATATATATATATATCTCATCTATAGTATGATATAGTATTATAATCGCACATGTATATAAGTATAAGTATAACTATTACTATAAGTACAAATGAAGGTATAAGTATAAATATAAGTATAATATATGTTTGAAAGGGAGCACATCATGCTATTCATGTATGGCTCAAGCTATTTTGTCTAGCACGGAAAAAATGAGTTGGGTTTGTCTAATGGATTATCATCATTTGTCCATGATTCAACAGTCAAAAATTGAAACGCATCCTTTGTATGAAGAAACCGACATGATACTTCTGGTTATACAATGTAATTATTGTAATGTTATATGTAATATTATATATATACCCTCTGGTAATTTAACATAGCTATGGAAAATCACCATTTTTAACGGGAAAATCCACTATATATGGTCATTTTCAATAGCTATTTTGACATAACCAGAGGGTATATTCCATAAATTTCCACAATATTCCCGTTCTGTTGGTTCAATCACCATAAAAAAAGCTTGGAAGCTGCCTTGCCTATAGAGTCCTTGCTGAGAGCCCGGCTAAAGTTGTCTCCCAGCGAGTCGGGTTCCAGGTGGGATGGCCCGAGGTCCAAAGATAAGGCGAGCGTAGAAATCCGTAGAATGTTGCTTAAAGAGTACGAGTAGCTAAGTGGTGGATGTAAGTGGATGTAACTGGATGTAACTGGATGCAACTGGATGTAACTGGATGTAACTGGATGTAACTGGATGTAAGTGGATGCAACTGGATGTAACTGGATGTAACTGGATGTAACTGGATGTAACTGGATGTAAGTGGATGCAACTGGATGTAACTGGATGTAACTGGATGTAACTGGATGCAACTGGATGTAACTGGATGTAACTGGATGTAAGTGGATGTAACTGGATGCAACTGGATGTAACTGGATGCAACTGGATGTAACTGGATGTAACTGGATGTAAGTGGATGTAACTGGATGCAACTGGATGTAACTGGATGTAACTGGATGTAACTGGATGTAACTGGATGCAACTGGATGTAACTGGATGTAACTGGATGTAACTGGATGTAACTGGATGCAACTGGATGCAACTGGATGTAACTGGATGTAACTGGATGTAACTGGATGTAACTGGATGTAACTGGATGTAACTGGATGCAACTGGATGTAACTGGATGTAACTGGATGTAAGTGGATGTAACTGGATGCAACTGGATGTAACTGGATGTAACTGGATGTAACTGGATGTAACTGGATGTAACTGGATGCAACTGGATGTAACTGGATGTAAGTGGATGTAACTGGATGCAACTGGATGCAACTGGATGCAACTGGATGTAACTGGATGTAACTGGATGCAACTGGATGTAACTGGATGCAACTGGATGTAACTGGATGTAACTGGATGTAACTGGATGCAACTGGATGTAAGTGGATGTAACTGGATGCAACTGGATGTAACTGGATGCAACTGGATGCAACTGGATGTAACTGGATGTAACTGGATGTAACTGGATGTAAGTGGATGCAACTGGATGTAACTGGATGTAACTGGATGTAACTGGATGCAACTGGATGTAACTGGATGTAAGTGGATGTAACTGGATGCAACTGGATGCAACTGGATGCAACTGGATGTAACTGGATGTAACTGGATGCAACTGGATGTAACTGGATGCAACTGGATGTAACTGGATGTAACTGGATGTAACTGGATGCAACTGGATGTAAGTGGATGTAACTGGATGCAACTGGATGTAACTGGATGCAACTGGATGCAACTGGATGTAACTGGATGTAACTGGATGTAACTGGATGTAAGTGGATGCAACTGGATGTAACTGGATGTAACTGGATGTAACTGGATGTAACTGGATGCAACTGGATGTAACTGGATGTAACTGGATGTAACTGGATGCAACTGGATGTAACTGGATGTAACTGGATGCAACTGGATGCAACTGGATGTAACTGGATGTAACCGGATGTAACTGGATGTAACTGGATGTAACTGGATGTAACTGGATGTAACTGGATGTAACTGGATGTAACTGGATGTAACTGGATGTAACTGGATGTAACTGGATGTAACTGGATGTAACTGGATGTAACTGGATGTAACTGGATGTAACTGGATGCAACTGGATGTAACTGGATGTGACTGGATGTAACTGGATGTAACTGGATGTAACTGGATGTAACTGGGCTTCCCTTTTTATGGCTGGCTTAAGGGCTTGTAATATGTTGTAACCAACGTCTCAACGTCCGACCACCAATTTGCCAATTTCGGATCATCATCCGAGATAGGATGACATGTAGACATGTAGAACATAGCTGAAACCACAAAGCTGCTAATGACAGGATACCAATGGATACCTTCTATCGCAAAGATTCAAGCGTCCATCAAGACTCCTAAATATCCTTGTCATTGAAAGGACACAATAGTTTGAAGAGCCAGTGTTGTTGCTTTGATTTTGCTTTTTCATATATGGCTTTCATAGTAAGCCTATTGTAATTCATCCGGATAGGACTGGCACAGCGATCAACGCCTGTGGGCGTCATCCCAGCAGCACAGAGCAAGGGGCGAGTGTCGTCGGAAGGCACCAAAATGTAGTCTTGGACGTAGAACCTGGGCAACTCAAAATGGACATGGCGTTGCCATGGTTGAAAAGATAGCCAGGTTAGTTTGAAAATAGGGGATACCAACAAATAGCCATTTGTTGGGGTACATGATCTAATATATATATATATATATGATGTGTGTATATATATATATATATGTGTGTGGGGTACTCTATTTTCAGGCAAACCCATTTATGGGAAACAACATAGAAAAAAACACACACAAACAACATGGAAACGATCTTTAGCCACATGGATATGGAAAACGTTGGCAAACAACCATGCTTTTTTTTCCACGGACAATCATTTACACATGATGGGTGTTTCCATGTATCTATATAAGTGAGCAGCGGTGGAGGAGATTCTGTTGGGGATATTGATCAACTCATCTCCTAAGAGACAGGGCACATACCCCCACTATTAATTTACCACCCAGAAGTACCCGGCCTGGTAAACATACAAAAAGCTATTGAAAATGGCCATTTATAGTTGATTTACCTATTAAACATGGTGATTTTCCGTATTTCACATGCGTGTCTTTCAGCTTCGCGCAGCCGCTGGTCAGCTTCGCGCAGCCGCTGGTCAAAATGGGTCCGCCAAACATGAACGACTCTGCACCAAAAAATGGCTATACTAATGGTTCTAGTAGATATGCCGATATCCTCGTCAAAATGGCAACATATTTTCAAAGAGATGAGGGGCAACCACGACCCAGGAAAGACGAACCCTAAGCGAGATCGGCTGTCATGAAGTGGTTCATGACCTCAAAAAACCCAAACGGGATGATGATAGTAGCCCCTGCTTGATGATGATCATGTGATGATGATTGATGCATGGAGCTGCTTTAGTCGCCTGATTCCCAACTATCTCCAGACACCACCAGACACCAGCGCCCCCCGCAGCTCCCCCGTGGCTCGGACGTGTCCTTTTTTCGCCGGATTTCGAGGGGATCTGCGTCAAAAAGACGGGAAAACCGACGGCTAATGAAGTTCCTAACATGGCTCCATCAGAGTCCTAAGCGACCGCTGTTCAGGGCTCCGGCGGTGCTGTCTAAATCCCAAGAGCCCTGGGGACCCTCCCAGCCCTCCGGGAACAAGGGGAAGAGAGGCCTCAGATGATGCCAAACATCGGACCACATGACAAGAAGAAGACATGTTGCACGTTCATTTTTTTTTTGTGTGTGTGTGGCTAGATGTACATGATTTATGTCTGTTTATATTTTTTATGTTTGTTTATGTATGATTATGTATGTGTAAATGATCTCCATGAACTTTGACGCACACCTAAACATGAAAGTTGTCAACGCCCACAACGTAGGACACATTTGGAATATCATACAGTTTGCACGCAGCAGTTCCCTGTGTAAGTACATATCTATATATAAATCAGCAACATCATATATAGAGTCTAGAGACATATCATTTGACATCCAGAGACTGCTGACTGAGTGCAACCCTTCTCTGCAATAAACTCACTTGGAAACCGCTGTTGAATTCCCAAAACTGGATTCGGGTGCATATTTGGGTTCCACACTAGATTTCTGGTACTTGCCAATGGCAGGCCAGAGTTACTTACTTTACACACATGAGCATCAAGCTTGTACACCCTATAAGCAACTGCATTACATGTGCAAATTCGGTACATGTTTGCCATTTCTGGCGACTTGAATGGAAGAATGATAGACCATTGGGATTTAACCCTATTGATGGACAAACTCAACTGGATACTGTCAATGTCTGCATCCATCAAAATGGCAAAGACATGCATAAGGCGTGAAACATCATGAAACGGTGTGAACCTTATATATTATATGTAAGTGCATATGTATCCCCATTAAAACGGTCAAAACAAATAGAGTATTGAAGTATCATTGACCTATCCTTCACCAAGGGTCACCCGGTTGATAATGTTGATTATGGTCGATAGGTCAAAATCAAAACAACATTCGGAACACAGTTCAAAATCTAACATGTTCCATTTATTATTGAGTTTTGTTCCATTTATAGCTGATTTACATTGATTTACATAGCCAGATGCTCCATGTATGGAATAGTTGCCTACTTTTACCCCAAAAATGGCAACGTTTGTAGCTAAGATATTCCAGTACGATGGAGCATCTGGGATATCTATATCTATATATATAAACCATGAAATCCTAACATGTGTGGTGCTTAAGTCACCATGTTCTCTATAATTTACAACGCTATTTACCTATGAAAATCATGGATTAGCCAACCAGCGCCACCAAGGGGCCCCTTCACCACCAAGTTGTGGTGGACCATGCCCGAGAATGCCAGCATGGCCAATCTGCCATTGGACAGCTCCTAGCCGAGAGGACATGGTGATATATCCATGGGACATATCATAGATATATCATGGATACCCTCTGGTAAACTAACATAACTATGGAAAGATCCACCATTTTTAATATGTAAATCATCATAAATCAACTATAAATGGGCCATTTTCAATGGCTATGTTAGTTTACCAGAGGGTATGTATATTAAGGAGATATAATGGAAACATATTGGAGGTATAATGGAGATGTAATGGAGATAGAATGGAGATCTTATATTGGATGTATAATAGACTATCATGGAATATTCCCGGAATATTCATGGCATATAATGGAATATGGTTTAATACATGTTAACACCATCCTGTAATTAAACGTGGCTGGCTGGAAATTCCTCTAAGAATGGAGGTTTGTAGCTGGGAAAATAGTCAGACCAAATGTTGGGATTGTCCATGCTTTTTGATTATAGAAGGGTAACACTACATTTGATAAGAATATATATATATGTGTGAAAATCATCTTCCAAGAAAAGCTCGGGCCGAATTTTGGAATTCTCTCCTGTGACATCACTGGCTGGCAAATTCACCGTAAATAGGCATTTAAATTGGACCATCCTCTAAAACTGGGGAAAAACATCCATTGCCATGTTTGATTACCAAAGGCTACATCAGAATTGAAGTCCAATTTGGTTGAATTTCAAGGGCAGCGTCCCCGAAGACACCAGAGATTGGACCCCGAAAGCGGTCCTTCATAGCAAGATCATCTGCCTTTGCCTTGTCCCCAGGAAGGAATCTCTTGCCTTGGTGGTGCCGTTTGGCCGTTTGGCTGCACATAAGCATCTGAGCCATGAAAAAACTGTCGGGCTGATTGGCTAATATAGAGGCTTACTATATATAAGGTCTTGCCCGAAACACATCGAGAAACAACCAAAACTCATGCAAAGAAATATATAACCCACTACTTCATGACCAGTCTTTGGATACGCCCACTCTATGTATCTCAGCATATCTCCATCCCCATCAAAATTTGCCCGTCTTTCCGGAGATTTGCCCAGAGGATCATTCCTGGCTATCCCATCATATCCCCATGACTTTGACCCATGAGTTTTTGCTGGTTAAACCTGAAAAAAACATCTTAAACATGGCAAACCATCTTAATATATATATATATATACACACACGTGTTGGTGAAATCACATGTTTGGGACTTTCAACAAACAGACTCACATCAACATGTGGCGGGAAGGCTTACCCATATATATATATATATATATGTGTATATGTATAATTATATATATATTTTTATTGTACATCGGTCATCCCCAAAGGAATACCCAAGTAATTTCCTGCGAAACTCGTGATAAATAACGAGTTTATATTCTTGGGGGTTAGTATACATATGGTTGTGCTGAGTAGGTAGATTCTTGTTTTTCATTGAACTACCTATATTCATCCAGATTCTATCTACTCCAGGATGACACATAGCATATAATATATGTTATATACTCTTTGTCATATAAAATCTGTTACAATATATATATATATATATAACATATATATATATATAAAATCTACATATATATATAGTATGTGTATATATATATGTAAATTATATACATATACAATATTATATTTTACCTCTATATATAAATATATAATATATATATAATATAGTATGAATACAATATAATAATCTATCATACTATCTAATTTCACTTATGTAATATTTAATGTGTAATACATAATGTATGTATATAATATATATATATATATCAATACATAATATACAGTAATACAAATATATATATATAAATAATAATACATATTTATATACAATACCATCTGGTAATTGTAATTTAACGTAGCGAAACAATCACCAGTTGGTGCCCGAGGCGAAAAAAACCCTCTGGTCAACGTTTACAGAATGAACTGGAAAGATCCACCATTTTATAGCTGGGAAAACTCACTATTTCGACTGGGCCATTGAAAAAATAGCTACAAGGTGGTGCCCCCCCAGTCATGTTTGTTGGTTTATAATCCCCATTAACTATAGATAGTTCACCCCCTAATCAACCCAACAGTTATTGGACTTATTGGCACCAACTTGGCTAACGAACTGGGGCACCACCTTGTTGTTTATAATGGAAAATCCCATTGTATAGCTGGGAAAACTCACTATAAATTGCCATTTTCAATAGCAAATTGTTAGTTTACCAGGCCGGGTAAATCCCATTCAATTCCATTAAACCACCATAAACCCTCATTAAATCACCATTTTCCTATGGTTTTCCTATGGTTCACTATGGTTGCACATATCCCCAGCATCTCCAAGCCATTTTTTCGAGGTGCCAAAGTTCAGATCTCCAGGGGCTCGCTTGGCACCCTCGCCCTCAAACCTGCTTGGCACTTAAACGACACAAGATACCGCGGACCGGGAACGATTATGGATAAAAACTGGTGATTTAATGGTGATTTCCATGGTTAATAATGGTTAATAATGGTTAATAATGGTTAATAGTGGTTAATAGTGGTTAATAGTGGTTAATACAAAAATCATCTGGTTGGTGGTGCCATAACCATCGTGAAAAATGATGGAGTTTGTCAATGGGAAGGATGACATCCCATAGATTATGGCCAAATAAAACATATTCCAAACCACCAAGCAGCAAGAAACATGTGAAACACCCCCAGTGAAACTCATGGAAAATGATCCTGGTCCATGGTGAGAAAAGTTGTGTCTTACTCACTTTGGTAGTGTTTACCCTCCGGTGTCATGAAAGCCTCTCACAAAAAATGGTGGTTTATAGCTGGGAACATCATCGAGGTAAATGGAGGCATGGCTCCATGGCTTAACCACGAAACATACGGTTGGATACGGTTGATAAATGATGAAGGGATATGAAGGGGGTTACATGATTTATATGATTTATATTGATTTATATGATCCAAGATAGTGGGGATCATCATCATCCGGTCATGAAACACCTATTTTGACCCCTCACACGATTTTCGTGAACGTCACGGGCTGATTCCTCAGGATCTTTGGGATGGTGAATCATTGGAGGGAAAACTGAAGCCGGACACCTTGTTTTGTTTCTTCAAAGAGATCTAGAATACCCCGCGTTAAACTAACATAGATGTGGAAAGCATCGATGATCTATCTCAGTACGGGTGGGTTTTCCACATCTCAGTTGACCCTAGGGGTCATTCCTGGCAACACTATGAGGTGAATCCAACGGGAGAATCACCATACTATCATCAATGATGACAAAGAAAACGGATGTCCCAAGATCATTGGGTAAACCCTCTGTGTGCATAAGTTCCATTGGCAATTGCGCTTGGATTTGTTGATCCAGCTGGTGATATCTTCGCAGATTCATGGGGTTTTGGCTATGATTAAATGGGCGAATGCGATCACAATTGCAATATATATATATAATATTATTATCTATGAAATTATCTATGATATTCTATTATGATGATGATCCTACCCTTCCAACCCAATTTCCATGTCGCAAGACCTTGCAATCACCGGAGACGTCATGGCACCCAACCACACAACCACCCAACCACCCAGCAGCGGCACATGTCCAGCATGGTCAGCTTGCCGTTGTATGATGAGCTCTCAATGTATCCAGCCGCGAAGAGAAGAAGGGCCTCAGTCGAAAGCCATGTATGTCGAGGCACAACAAATATGAGGATAACAACAAAAAACGAAAAAATGAGTGTTGCGATTTATCATAATTCAACATAGTTTACTATAATTTTACGCCGGGTTGGGTTATAGTTAGTTCATCCTCTAAAGTTCAGATGATTTGCCAAATCCCATAGGAGAAGCATTTTGTCTTTTTTTCTGGGTATCTCCATCACCAACATATCAACATGATTCAACATGTACAGGTGACAGGATATTGTATCCCTTTAAATTCAATATCATCTGTTATTGATTCCTTTGCTGGGACAAAAAGTGATGGATTCTTTATGAATCACCCTGCGGCAGCGAACGAAAATCGTACAACAAAGGAAACTAGACAATGAAAATACAGTACCTTCATCAAGACATGGTTAGCATTTCTATGCATTTCTACCATCCCCAAAATCGGTTGTTGCTTCTTTGGGGTGTTGACATCATCGCACAATCATGGGCCCTCAAGGGCCGATCCCTGCCCTAGCCATGGGGATTTGGTCGATTTTGGTCGCTGGGAAACTCCGCTTGAACAATGGGCTGGGTGATGTTCCGGCAAAGCATGTTTGATGATCAGAGAGCATCCATTATTTCTGGTTGGTGGTGCAGTTTCACCATCCTGAAAAAAATCATGGAGTTCGTCAATGGGGTTGGGATGACATCCCATATATATATATATGAAATGGAAAATAAAAATTATGTTTGAAACCACCAACCAGTTAAACATCAATTTCCCTATGGTTTTCCTATGGTTTTCCTATGGTTTTCCTATGATCATGGTTGAATCTCAGATATTTGTTGGTCAAACGCTTCGACCTCCCACCGATGTTTTTTAAGCCATCAGTTTTTTGCACCTGTCACCGTGACCAAGGTTTACCAGTAAACATACTGGTAACACATGGGGGGTTCCATAATTGGGGAATCACCAAAATGGTTGCAAGGTGGTACCCCCCCAGTTATGTTTGTTGGTTTATCATCCCCATTAACTATAAATATAACCTTCATAAACCCTAGTTATTGGACTTATTGGCACCAACTTAGCTAACTATGGGGCACCACCTTGTGGTTTATAGTGGAAAATCCCAGGCAAAAATGGATGATGGCTGGGGGTACCCCCATGACTTAGGAAACCTCCAACAGGAAACCCATGGATTTCCTTGCTGCCACGGTCACGGTCATGTTCACTGGGGCGGTGTAGATGGCTTGCAGGGCGTCCTGCGACGATTGAATTAGATGACTGGTTGGTGGTTGACCTACCCCTCGGAAAAATATGAGTTCGTCTGTTGGGATGATGAGATTCCCAATATATGGAAAGTCATAAAATTCATGTTCCAAACCACCAACCAGATGATTTCATACCAAACATTGCCACTGTTGGAGGTAAATCATGATACATGTTGATGTTTATTTTGGGGGGATTCCGAAGTTTGAAAAACACCTTAGTCTCAAACCCTTGAAATGAGTCATGTAGGAACATCTCAAACGAGGCTATATCAGGAAGACATGGATGGTGAAAATGCATAAAAATGCTAATTTCTGGGCAGTTTAGCCAACAACCATACCCAGGGCAGTTTACCCAGGTCCACGTCTCCAACCATTGGATGAAACAAAGTACACCAACTATTTTCTTGCACAGTGAGTCATGTGTCTTAAAAATCCAGCAAAGGTCCAACATCTGGGCAAATTATAATAATTCATTAACCTGAAATAAGGCCGTTTTGGGATGATTCCCCTTACTAACTATGATTCCAGGGCTCGGTCGCAGTGAGGTCGTTATAATTTACCCAGAAACATGATGATGATGATGATGATGATGACCTCGATGTCTCGATTCATGGCCAAATTGCCTTAAATCTTCAAACCCATGGAGGCTCCATGGTGCTGGTATGTGTACCTACAAAACTGGGTGATTATTGGGACAAATGTAGGTAAATATTCCATACATAGAGTATGTGGGATGTTTATTTTTTTTTCCATGGTTATAAATGATGTATAATAACTATATCCATAAATGGATAGATATAAATATCCATAAATGGGATATACATATCCATAAATGGGGTCCCTCTATTGATAATTATATCATATTATATCCCATTTATGGATATTTATGTTTATATCTATATTAATATGGGATACCATGAGAAATATCTATGAAATATTATGGTGTATATATATATATATGGAAATTATATCTATTATATCTATATTAATCTATATATACCATTTATAAAAACCATTGATCCATGCATCCTCCAAGATTCCCCGGACCCCCGGCCACCCCGGCCACCCCGGTCCGGCGCGGCCGTGAAGCCTGGGAACTGGACGTATTGCTCCGCCACGAAGCCGATGGTGGCCTTGGCTGGAATTGAACCGTAGGAAAACCATAGGAAAACATAGGAAAACCATGGGAAAAAACATAAAACCATGGGAAAACCATAGGAAAAACATAGGAAAACCAAGGGAAAAAAACATAAAACCATGGGAAAACCATAGGAAAAACATAGGAAAACCAAGGGAAAAAACATAAAACCATGGGAAAACCATAGGAAAAACATAGGAAAACCATGGGAAAAAACATAAAACCATGGGAAAACCATAGGAAAAACATAGGAAAACCATGGGAAAAAACATAAAACCATGGGAAAACCATAGGAAAAACATAGGAAAACCATGGGAAAAAAACATAAAACCATGGGAAAACCATAGGAAAACATAGGAAAACCATGGGAAAAAGGGAAAAAACATAAAACCATGGGAAAACCATAGGAAAAACATAGGAAAACTATGGGAAAAAACATAAAACCATGGGAAAACCATAGGAAAAACATAGGAAAACCATGGGAAAAAACATAAAACCATGGGAAAACCATAGGAAAAACATAGGAAAACCATGGGGAAAAAACATAAAACCATGGGAAAACCATAGGAAAACATAGGGAAACCAAGGGAAAAAACATAAAACCATGGGAAAACCATAGGAAAAACATAGGAAAACCATGGGAAAAAACATAAAACCATGGGAAAACCATAGGAAAAACATAGGAAAACCAAGGGAAAAAACATAAAACCATGGGAAAACCATAGGAAAACCAAGGGAAAAAACATAAAACCATGGGAAAACCATAGGAAAAACATAGGAAAACCATGGGAAAAAAACATAAAACCATGGGAAAACCATAGGAAAAACATAGGAAAACCAAGGGAAAAAACATAAAACCATGGGAAAACCATAGGAAAAACATAGGAAAACCAAGGGAAAAAAACATAAAACCATGGGAAAACCATAGGAAAAACATAGGAAAACCATGGGAAAAAAACATAAAACCATGGGAAAACCATAGGAAAAACATAGGGAAACCAAGGGAAAAAACATAAAACCATGGGAAAACCATAGGAAAAACATAGGAAAACCATGGGAAAAAACATAAAACCATGGGAAAACCATAGGAAAAAAAAGAAAACCAAGGGAAAAAACCACATAAAAACCATGGAAACAATAGGAAAACCATAGGAAAATCCAGGGAAAAAAAAAACATAAAACATGGGAAAACCATAGGAAAAAACATAGGAAACCATGGGAAAAACCATAAAACCATGGGAAAACCATAGGAAAAACATAGGGAAACCAAGGGAAAAAACATAAAACCATGGGAAAACCATAGGAAAAACATAGGAAAACCATGGGAAAAAACATAAAACCATGGGAAAACCATAGGAAAAACATAGGAAAACCATGGGAAAAAAACATAAAACCATGGGAAAAACATAGGAAAACCAAGGGAAAAACATAAAACCATGGGAAAACCATAGGAAAAACATAGGAAAACCATGGGAAAAAGCATAAAACCATGGAACAAAACCCTTGGAAAAACTCAGGACAACCATCGTTTGATGGTGATTCGACCATGAAAACATGGTAGGATTCAATGGAAAAATACTGGGGATATCATCGTGTTGGTGTTTTTTCCTCCCAAAGAACCATGTATTGGGACCGCTTGAGGATGTGTCGTTTAACATTTGGCCAACAATATTAGCACAAATCATCTCAACCAATCGTCCCAAGTGTATGGTTGAAAGAAATAAATATTTGAGAGCAGAAAATAGTTTCTGTTGTTTGGCCTTCACCGATTCACTTACTTCTTGAGTTTCAAAATCCTGTTTGAGATTTACGTCAGAAAAAAAAACAAAAACATGCTTTGAGATATTTTAGGAACTAAATCAGACACAAAAATAGATTCTGCTTGTCTTTTGTTGATGCCAGAAAACCTCATTAAATATCCATTAATAGTTCCTGACCTGGTAAATCTCATTAAATTCCATTAAAGCACCATAAAACCTCATGAAAAATCACAATTTTCCTATCGTTTTCCTATGGTTTCCTATCGAGGCCGTTCGGCCAGGTTCAGCCAGGTCACCAACATGCAAACTCGTCCATGCTTCAGCTCTGCCCTGAAAACTTCACCGTGGTAAGCTAAACGTGGTAAAAAAGGAAATATCCTAAACAAATGAAGGTAAAATGTGGGAACATGTGGGAAAATGTGGGAAAATCATCTGTAAATGAGGGATTTTAATGGTCAAATGGCTATTTACATATAGGCAATATGATTCTCAACCAATGGAAATCGCTGGGGATGGGCCAAGCCATTGGGTACTCCAATACTTGGATGGGACCAATACTAGATATTCATCTGAAAATCTGTGGTCCCTTCTGGGGCTTAAATTTTGACCAATCCCCATTTAGAGAATATTATTATCAACCAATGGACTTAGGGTACACTATCAGACAAACCCAAATCCCTACAGCTCCAAACACCTTCTGAGACTGTATCAGTGGGGTTGGTGAAAAAACTCTTTTTAGTGCCTAAACACCGACTCGATGGCATGTGGAGCAGTAGGGAATAGAGGCTTTAATGGGAAAAACATCTATAAATTGCGGATTTTCCAGCCACCAAAATAATCAACTGCAAGTCTTGAATCTAAAACTTAAAATCACGGTGGAATCAACTGGTAATACGTGACACATATAAGTTAGGACGTTCCCCTTCCTTGTAACAGTGACCACAACTGGACAGCACAAACGGAGCACCACAAAAATGCTCCAAATTGAGCTTATCTCTGATCAGAAGTCCCAACATACAGCCATGTTTAAATCAGAAAACACTTTTTTCCACTACCCCTGCCGAAGCTCCATGGTGCCATCAACATAGGCATGGGTTGCCAAAGCAAAGTAGCAATGGAACGTGCTTTGTGCAAGCTTTGTAGTACAAAGTAGTACTGGGAAATACTTTGTGCAAGCTTTGTAGTAGAAAGTAGTACTGGGAAGTCGCTTGTGCAAGCTTTGTAGTACAAAGTAGTACTGGGAAGTGCTTTGTGCAAGCTTTGTAGTACAAAGTAGTACTGGGAAGTAGCTTGTGCAAGCTTTGTAGTACAAAGTAGTACTGGGAAGTGCTTTGTGCAAGCTTTGTAGTACAAAGTAGTACTGGGAAGTAGCTTGTGCAAGCTTTGTAGTACAAAGTAGTACTGGGAAGTGCTTTGTGCAAGCTTTGTAGTACAAAGTAGTACTGGGAAGTGCTTTGTGCAAGCTTTGTAGTACAAACTAGTACTGGGAAGTGCTTTGTGCAAGCTTTGTAGTGCAAAGTAGCACTGGGAGAGCTGGGTAAGCTGGCCAATTAAAATTATATAATTGTAAATGGAAATCTCTAGAAAAAACACATTTTTTGGCTGATTTTCTGGTGCTCCGTTTGTGGTCTCTGATTGTACTTTCTGGTGCTTCGTTTGTGCTCTCTGATTGGACTTGCTGGTGCTCCGTTTTGGCAAAACCTCTGGTCTCTCTGGTGCTCCGTTTGTGGTCTCTGATTGTACTTTCTGGTGCTTCATTTGTGCTCTCTGATTGGACTTGCTGGTGCTCCGTTTTGGCAAGACTTCTGGTCTCTCTGGTGCTCCGTTTGTGGTCTCTGATTGTACTTTCTGGTGCTTCATTTGTGCTCTCTGATTGGACTTGCTGGTGCTCCGTTTTGGCAAAACCTCTGGTCTCTCTGGTGCTCCGTTTGTGGTCTCTGATTGTACTTTCTGGTGCTTCGTTTGTGCTCTCTGATTGGACTTGCTGGTGCTCTGTTTTGGCAAAACCTCTGGTCTCTCTGGTGCTCCGTTTGTGGTCTCTGATTGTACTTTCTGGTGCTTCATTTGTGCTCTCTGATTGGACTTGCTGGTGCCCCGTTTTGGCAAAACCTCTGGTCTCTCTGGTGCTCTCCGTTTGTGGTCTCTGATTGTACTTTCTGGTGCTTCGTTTGTGCTCTCTGATTGTGGTCTCTGATTGGATTTCCTGGTGGTCGGTTTGTGGTCTCTGGTTGTGGTCGGTAAGTAAGGATTTGAATAAGGTATCTTGATGCATCTCTGATTGGATTTGCTGGTGCTCCGTTTGTGGTCTCTGATTGTACTTTCTGGTGCTTCGTTTGTGCTCTCTGGTTGGACTTGCTGGTGCTCCGTTTTGGCAAAACCTCTGGTCTCTCTGGTGCTCCGTTTGTGGTCTCTGATTGTACTTTCTGGTGCTTCATTTGTGCTCTCTGATTGGACTTGCTGGTACTCCGTTTTGGCAAAACCTCTGGTCTCTCTGGTGCTCCGTTTGTGGTCTCTGATTGTACTTTCTGGTGCTTCGTTTGTGCTCTCTGATTGGACTTGCTGGTGCTCCGTTTTGGCAAAACCTCTGGTCTCTCTGGTGCTCCGTTTGTGGTCTCTGATTGTACTTTCTGGTGCTTCGTTTGTGCTCTCTGATTGGACTTGCTGGTGCTCCGTTTTGGCAAAACTTCTGGTCTCTCGGTGCTCCGTTTGTGGTCTCTGATTGTGTTTTTTTTGCAAAGCGCACACGGCGACAAGGACAGCCGAAATTGGCCAACTTTACCGTGGGCAGGCTGTCTCCCAAAGGTGTTTTTCGGCACCTTTCCTGGTGCTCCGTTTGGTCCTTTCTGGTGCCTCTGCTGGTGCTCCGTGTGTGGCCTCTCCTTGTTCTTTTTTTTTTGAGTTTTACTTTGCATTGTTGCATCAATCAACATTAAACAATGCCCGATTTACTGGCATGAGTTTTGGGGTGTAGGGTTTAGGATTTTGCATGGCCGACCATACCGTGTGACTGACCGCAAATACCATAGAATCAGATCCATGCGGCCCATGGCCCAAATCACTTTTGAATTCAATTGATCGCACAACACAATAACCTATGCCACATGTCTGGGATGTCAAAGCAAAGGGATGCCAAAGCAAAGGGATGTCACAGCCAATGGGGATGTCAAGGCAATGGGATGTCAAAGCAATATAGGGGATCCCAGTCTGGTAACTTTGGGGGTGGAGACCAATGAGACAGAATTGGAGACAAGACAGCACCTTAGAGAATGACATGTGATATGGTGGTAGGATTCTTGGAGGGAGAATCATGAAAAGAAAGATGAGCTGGACACCAACTCCAAGCCACCTGATGAAATAAATGCCAAGGAAAAGAGGACCAAGACATAAAGGGTTAGAAAGCACCAAATGGAATGATGAAATTTCTTACCTAGGCTCCGAAAAGTTTAATGTCATTCTGGGCTATTTTCCTGGTGCTTCATTTTGCTTCTCTGATATGTGGAAATCCATTATTTGGCTGTTACAAGGGGGGGGAATGTCCTAACATATAAGATGTATAAGATATAAAATACACTAAAGGAAAAATGTTTTGTTCATGATTCTCCCTATCAGAATGGCTGTATGTGTATATATATATATATACTAGAGTGATGTGATACACCTAAAATAAGACATCCCATTAACTAACCATTTGGGGATCATTATATCATCCCAGTCATAGTGGTATACCCGGTGCCATAAACTCTATCAGAGATGGTCTATGGCGGTGGGTTTCCCACATTCATGGGAATGTTAGAACAGGTGTAATATATATATAGTATATATACTATATATATATGTATATACTATATATATATATATATATATCAAAATCTAAATCTATATATGCCCTCCAGTGTCATCAAAAACGTGGTCACCAGTCCTGGAGGTTTTTGTCGCTGGGATCATCGGTCACTAAACGGGTGATGGTTGGATCTCAGATGTTTGTTGGTCTATGTATCTTCTATACATATATATATATATATACCCTCTGGTAAACGTTTACATAACGAACTGGAAAGATCCACCATGTTTAATGGGAAAATCCACTATTTCGACTGGGTCATTTTCAATAGCTACGTTAAATTACCAGAGGGTACATACATTTTTACATTACATTTCAGGAATTAATTACGTGTGATTTGAGATGTAATGGACTATGGGATCTGGAGAAAAAAGCCATGTATCATGAGACAAACTTTGGGACCACAACTGCATCGCTGGATGCAAGGTCAGATCCTCAGAAAAAAAAACAATCAACATGGGATCATCGGAATATAGATATAATGGAAGGTTTACTTAAACATGTTTGGAATCTATGGCGGATAATATATATATATATAAATATTGGGGCCCCGGAAGGATATGTTTGCGGGCTTCAAAAGCCTATGAATAATGGCGTCACCATCTTTGTGGTAGTCTCCTTCCGGTCTCAGTGCAGATGCTGTGCCGCACAATCTTCATGGCATTTCAAGATTATTCAGTACAACACATACCCTCTGGTAATTTAACATAGCTATGGATGGTCACAATTTTTAATGGGTAAATCCACTATAAATGACCATTTTCAATAGTTATGTTAGTTTACCAGAGGGTATCCTCCAAGACCATGTTTTTTCATTGGATCATCTATTCCTGCATTCATTGGACCATGACTCTGACTTAATTCACTAAAACCTACTCGAAAACATCCAAACTAACAAGGTTGGTTGTTCAAACTTGCTGGTGAAAAACTCCAACTTCTCATGTTTCAGACCTCATGACCCAAGCACAAACTTGCTGGTTTATCTCTAACTTCTCATGTTTCAGACCTACCCAGTGGATGCTTTCAATGATCAAAAGTGGCTCCAGTGGCTCCGCCCGGCCCTACCAGTCACTTCACACACCACATGAAGCTCCAACTCCTTCCACGATTTTTTTTCATCAATTAATCAATTAATGTATTAGCTATGTAAAGCCAATCTTCATGATTTTCGGAGTTTCATCCCCACAGTTTAGGCCCTTTGCCAGTTACAAGTCAGTCACAACCGTTATAAGCCCATTTATGGATATTTATATCCCATTTATGGATATTTATATCCCATTTATGGATATTTATATCTATCCCATTTATGGATATAGTTATTATACCTCATTTATAAGCGTAGGGAAAAAACACATCCCATATGCTCCATGGTGCTGGAATGTTTACCAACATTTGCCCGAACAAAATCACCAAGTTTTGTAGGTAAATATCCCAGCACCATGGAGCATATGGCATAATATGGGCATGTTGAATCACTGCTATTTAAAGGGCCAAGGAAATTGATATTTATAATTGATCTAAAATCCATAATTACCCCATTTCTGGATATAGCTATACCTCATCTGGTTGGTGGTTTCAATCCCTCTGAAAAATATGAGTTCGTCAGTTGGTATGATTATACCCAATATATGGAAAGTCATAAAAGCCATGTTCCAAACCACCAACCAGTCATTATGTTGAGGTTCTGGGATTATTTAATTATCATGTATAATGTGTATATATATATACACATAATAATTAAATAATTATCATCATTCCATGATATTTCTATAACTCCATAGAAACAACCATACCCAGGCCATCACTGCAGCCATTAACGGGCCACTGACATCAAGGGGCTCGCGCAGCCACTTGATGTCGAAGGTGTCCGAGAAGCCAAGGGGATCGAACTCGGCGTCGGAGCCTCGGGGGCATCTCCGACACGTCCAGTCTGGACGCGCTGGACGGGTTGGGCGGTTGAAATCTCTTGAAATCTGTTGAACATGGTTGAAATAAGGTACAAAACTGACCGGGTCATGGGGGATTTTACATGATTCTACAAGAAACATGGTGAGTGATAGTTGATTTGTGCTCAGTTGGTGTGCGGCGAAGATTTCGCTGTATATGTCAACAGGCATATCTGGGCATCACATTGTGTGGCTTGTGATCGTACTCCCCAAAAAAGACTGGTGTAATGTGGGTTATGAGGTATAACCCTCTGAGCCAACAAACTCCATGGCAAATGGTTGTTCTATATTCTTGGATCCCCTGAAAATACTATAAGTAATGATAGAGGTTAGTTGTCTAGTGTATTTTCTCATCGCAAAAAATCAGTGATTATCAAACTACCAAACTATCAAAGGCTGACCCGGAAATTGGGTCCCAAAATCAACCAGCCACAACCATAAATCCCAAGTTCCAAAAGTTTCTCCATTTCTGGGGGTCCCATCATAAAGGGCCACCCTTGGCCTCTCATGGCCTCTCTGGGATCGGAGATGCTTTTCAAAACCAGGAGTTTTTTTTCCCGCTGATTAGGTCAATATATATATATATATTGTATATATATATATATATATTGTATATATTTTTCCTTCCAGGCTCATGGTAGCGTTAAGCTGCGGCCTATGCTCTGAATTCCATGGGGGATCCCTTAGCCTGCGAAGTCCATTCCCAGCGCCTCGCTGTATTCCGTAGCCTCCAGCTCACGGCAGCGCATGAGAAAGGCCTCAGGCGGATCAGCCACTGAGGAGTCTACTGCATCAGTAGAAAAAGACTCCATCAGTGAATTTGCTATACATCTGCAAAATGCAGGTGCATACTCCTTCAGCGGAGCAGTCATCCAAGCTCCATGGCTGTCACGACCAATGGCCGTAGCCTTCGGTAAGTCCTTCCGGACTCTGCCCTGATGGAGATGGTGAATTAATCTCGGCAGGTTCAGCGCCAAGAGATGTGTGGGTTTAGGACTACGCGAACCTAAAAGACCCTGCGCAACTCTCACAAGCTTCACATGGTCCATGGCCAGCAGCACCTGCATCACCTCTAAACGCCAGATGGAAGCTGCGGCTTCATCATCGTCAGGTTCGGCGGGATGTTCCAGCAGGCCATACCCGTCCGTAGCTGCCAATTCCAGGATAGCAATGATGGCAAAGAAGAGCAGGTCATTCCCCACACATACCTGGCGCAATTCTCGTAGCGAAGCACAGTCAAAACCCCAAGGTTGCGCTCTAGATCTGATAACGCGAGGACCATTCTTGAGGAATTCCTTGCCAGTGCTGTCAGTGTGTTTGGTCTCGTTGCCTCTAGCACGAGACCAAGTTTCGCATGGGGGGCCGCCAATGAATGCAGTCACCCATTGGCGCCTGATGGCATCAATCCAATAAGCACATGTGGCTTGATTGGAGACGTCTCCCCATTCCTTGTTGATCACCACATCCAGTGAAATGACATGTAATGTGAACTCCGGCTGAGTCTTGGCAAGGATCTCCATGTAATACTGTATGTCACCTACCCTCCTGCGTCCTGCATACGCGTGGAGAACTATCCGATGCTTGCCAATCAGTCGCGGAACTTTCACAATGCCTTCAGTTACGATCTGCTCTCGCGTCAGTGCACATTCTTCTTCAAGATGTGTCAGACTGGGAAGGCTCTCCTCGCACGGCATGTCCTCAGAGAGGAATGGCCAGGTGGAGGGCTCACAGATCCCCTGCAAGACTTGCACAACTTGCTGCATGTCAATGTTGAAAGCGCTGGCATCTTCCTCCGTGAAGGTGTCCAGAAAGTGCTGGATGGTGATGCAAAACTTGGTCCACGTGATGGCCAAAGTTGAGGCATGCTGTCGGATGCGTCCATCCAAGTGCTCGATGTCATAGTGCTGGGTCAGCTCCTCCACAATGAAGTCAAAGACGCCCTCGTCAAAATCCAAAAGAACTCGATGAGGTACAGGTGCCTGTAGTGGTCCTTGTCCACGTAGAGGTGGGAGTTGGCGGTCGTGCCTCTCGACCCTGTCCAGATCCTCAGTCGAACCTGTGCCCGGTACTTGAACACATTGAAGACCACGATCCTGCAGAAGCTCACGCCACTTGCGACTGTAATAGAGGTGTGCTTGTAGCTTCTGCATCGTGTGGAAATGGCGAAGACATCCGGCACAATTTGGGTGATCCGCAAGACGTCGCAGATGTGATGCTAGTCCGTGGACTTTGTACATGTGCGCCGCCTGACCTGCTCTGCTCCTGCATCTCTCTTCCCACATCCAATGCATCCAAAGGGTTCATTGCTCGTTTGTTGAATCCTGTATGGTCTGGGTGCAGTCTGAGGCAGTACGCTCCAGATTCGATCCAAAGCACGTCGGTGAAAATCTCGCGCACGGAAGTCTCGACACCGTTGCATGACACAGTGGTCGCTGGCACGGCGAACCAGTCTCTTCCAGTATTTGGGGCTGGTTTGGATGAGGTTCAACCAATACCCATACGCCAAGCGTGGGTCCGGGAGCCTTGTCGTTGTGCTCAACTGATTCCACATCCAAATCATGTCAGCCTCAAGTAGGCCGATCCACTGTTGGTCTTGTGCGAAGAGAGCCCAAATATGCGGCATATTCATAGTGACCAGCGTCGCGAAGTACCTGAGGCGGCTGCGATGTAGCAGTTCTTCTGGACTGAGCATTGCAGTGCGTATCAGGAGCTCTTCAGTCGACAATGGCTGGTCATGAGGAATTTTCAGAAGGCGTCGATAAAGGTTGAAGATCTTGGCACTGAAGCTCTTCATTGTGCGCTTGTCCATCGCCACCCATGAATCCGATCCATACATGAATTTGCTCATCACCAGCATGTCAAATAACTCCTTGCGCTTGTCAATTGCCAGAGCCACATTTTGGTATACCAAGCGCCGATGCTGGTTCATGGCTGCATGGGCAGTCGCAGCCCGCTGATTGATCTCACGCGCCTGATCAGCAGTGTGGTGCATTGCGCCGCCTAGGTGACGATAACATTGCACAAGCTGCAGTTGATTCACTCCTCCTTCACATAGAACTGAAAGTGTCCCTGTGGATTCAGGTCCAAAATGACGGAGTCTTTCTTGTCGTGAGCCGGGTCCTCTCAGCATCAGTTGGATCTCCGTCTTGCCCTTGGCCAAATTCGGCTTGAGACAGTGATAAGTGCACAAGTCCAAAAGTGTGCCAGCCACAAAACTCACATTGTGGACAAGCTGTGTCGGCGTGGTCGCTTGTATGCAGACAGCTGTATCATCCATCCACGTTGGCCCCATAAATGTTGATCTGGTCTCTGAGTGCTCGTGATGCCCAAAAAGGGGCAAATGATGCTGGGTTTCGAAGCTGGTGAGCATTTGCTGAGCAGCCATGCTTTGCTGTAGCTTCTTCAAGACACAGCTCCATGTATAGCCAAACACGACATCCGCCAGGCTGTCGCCTGGCCTCGTTCCCATGCGGGTACGTGAGACGTCCCCTTGTTCAGCGATCCAGAAGTATGTTCCGGTGTGCACTGCCTGCCAGCACTGTTGATCTACCTCATTGAAGCCTGCTTGTTGCACAGCAGGCGGCTCATCCAAGAGGTGGTAGATGTCGTGCATGGCATTGTGCGGCAGGTTGAGTCTTGTAAGCACATGGGCAATGACTTCATCGGTCGGTGTGCCTCCCAATGTGGCCTCTCGCATGACTGTATAAAAGGCCTCCGTCAAGTCCAGGTATACAATGCCCGCTGAAAGGTTTTTCTGTTTGGCCTGTCTTGCAAATGCTCGAAGCTGATGTAGCGCCAGCTGAACCGGCACTTTGGTTCTTCCTCCAGTCTGTTCTTTCTGCATGAACCGCTCGTACAGTATGGATTGTTTGGTTCTGATGGTGCGATGTAGCACCTTGCCCAAATGGCTTGATATGAGCAATGATCGGTACGAGTGACAGCTATCCATTGGAGCCCTTACAAGCCGGTTGGAGCATGCCACCCTTGAACCCGATGTGCTCTTGTCCGTGTAGAATCATCTTGACAAGTTGAGGATAAAGGAGGCGCGCAATGCCCGTAGGTTGATGCCGTAGGAGCTCTCCCGGCAGGCCATCAGGTCCCCGAGCTTTGCCGCAAGGCACACGTCTCATCGCCAATTCGAGATCGGTCAAATCAAGTAGAAGATGTACATCAAACTGGATCTCTTGGCGCTGAAAACGTTGCAATTCATCAATCCATTGGTTGCGGAGCTGTTGAAACGACATCCTCTCACCTCCTTCCATGTTTTGGAAGAATCTGATCCACACTGCGACAGCTTCTCCTGGGAGCTGACAAACTTCACCTTGCTCATCTCTCACAATAGGCAGCATCTTCCTTTTGTGTTTTTTGGGGTTTGTCGGCCCAATGAAGTGTTTCAGCTCTCGAAGAACTTCTGAAGCTGGTGTGGTTACAGTGAACTCCTCAATCTTGTGCTTCAGTGCTTGCCTCTTGCTGCAAATAATCTCCTGTTTCAATCGAGTGGAGAGCACATGAAGTCGAACGGTCTTGGAAATCATGTTGCATCGCAGCATGCATTCATAGTTGAAGTACTCTGGTTGTTGGTCATGGCAGAGCTTCCCTGTCCATGCCTGAAATATCTTGTATAACAGGTCTCTCTTGGCTCTTTGCTTGATCTGTTTGAGGCTCTTCTTGAGGTAGCACTTGTCTTTCCGCAGGTTCCATAGCCGCTCAGTGATGTAGGTCTTCTTGATCTTGGGGGAAGTATGTGGCTGCTGCTGTTGGATGACCTCATGCAACTGTTGCGTAATATGTTGTGCCTGTTGCTCAACATCAGCTGTCCATGGTAGTGCTTGAAGTTGGGCAATTTGATCAGAAAGACCTGGTGCATGATGATACGTGCCGGCCTTGTGTTGTGGTCTGCCAGGCCGTGGTTCTCCGCAACATCTAACCCGCTCTGACCATTGAAGTTGTACTGCTG